TTTTGAGATGGGTGGACTTCAATTCCCAGAATACCCCTTGCAGCAAGGGGTATTCTGGGAGTCGAAGTCCACTCGTGATAAAATGGCAGGCAGCCTTGAGCAGCCCCAGCAAAAAGGCATATCCATAGGGCCCCATCAACAAAAGCCAAGATGGCAGACAAACAAAGCCCCGCCCCTTTCCCCACATAGTTGTTTTGAGCGAATGGTGGCCATCTTGACTTTTCTGACCCTCTCTGGTTGACACTCCTGTCCCAGAGAGAAAAGTTCCCCATCCCTGTATCAAAATTACTCATTTTTGTCTACTCCTGTTTCATCTCTCTTCTCCTTTGCCTTTCCCTCCAGGGCCCAAGCTACCAAAGAAGTCCCATCAAGCCCTAACACGTGCCCAGAAACTTGTCAAAATAGGGCAAAAATATCCAGTTTGGGGCAAAACAGGATAGTGAGGAGGTCACCGTCCTAAATGACCTTTGCCAACAGTTGTCCCAGGAGTTAATAGTTTTTTAAAAAAAAAAAAAACAGAAAAAGTAGAAAAGAAAATTCAGTGGGAAAAAAGAAAGCAAGCAATTACAGTGCTTTGAGCATACAAACAACATATAAATGTTGGTATCGCTGGAATACAGGCAGTCCTCAAGTTGTGACAATTGTCAGGCCGATCTACCGAAACTCACTTAGCAGATCATAAATATCACCAGCCACGCTTCACCCAGGGCATAATTTAAACTGCAGCACAGTTTAATGGCTCCCTCTGGCCCACACTGATTCCGAAGCCAATTTCTCTGTGGCATTGCTTTGGAAGTTACAGATAGTCCTCAGTTTACGACCCAAAATTTCCACTGCTACGCGAGACAGCTGTTAAGGGAGCTTTGCCCCAGTTTATGAACTTCGCCGCAGTTGTTAAGTTAGCAACACGCTGTTAGGGAAGTTTCTCCTTAATTCCAGGTGGCTTCTCTCCTTGCTTATAGCTTCTTCAGAGCGGAGCATAAAGAAATGTATCTCGCAAAAACTCTTCTCCTGAACATCCCGGAGGTGCTTTTTTTTTTTTTCCTTCCAAAAGGCAACTGGACTGTCTTGTTTTTTGTTTGTTTTTTCCTTGAGAACATTTCGCTTCTCATCCAAAACAATTTAGTTCTTGGATGAGAAATGAAATGTTTTCAAGGGAAAAAAAATCAAGAATGTCCAATTGCCTTTTGGGGAAGAAAAAAAAAAGCAACTTTGGGACAACCATGACCTGGATGATAGATAGGTAGGTAGGTAGATGATAGATAGACAGACAGACAAATAGCTAGATAGACAGACAGATGATAGACAGATAGACAAGCAGACAGATCATAGATAGGTAGGCAGTTAGGTAGATAGGTAGGTAGGTAGGTAGGTAGGTAGGTAGGTAGGTAGGTAGATAGGTAGATGATAGACAGATAGAAGACAGACAAATAGATAGATGATAGACAGATAGATAGACAAAGAGACAGATCATAAACAGGTAGGTAGGTAGTAGGTAGGTAGGTAGGTAGATAGACAGACAGATAGATAGATAAGACAGACAGACAGGTAGGTAGGTAGGTAGGTAGATGATAGACAGATAGACAAATAGATAGACAGATGATAGACAGATAGACAAACAGATCATAGACAGGTAGGTAGGTAGGAAGGTAGGTAGATAGAGAGAGACAGACAGCTGACAGACAGACAGACAGACAGACAGACAGACAGATAGATAGATACAGGGCTTTTTTTCTCATAGAATGCCCAGAACGGAGTTCCAGCACCTTTTTTGGATGGAACCTTGTAGGGTAGGCAAGGCGGGTTGTATGATGTGTGTGAATTCCAGCACCTTTTTTTTTTTTTTTAGAAAATAAGCACTGGATGGATAGATAGATAGATAGATAGATAGATAGATAGATAGATAGATAGATAGATAGATAGATAGATAGACAGACAGATCATAGGTAGATAGGCAGGTAGGTAGATAGATAGATGATAGACAGATAGATAGATAGATAGATAGATAGATAGATAGATAGATAGATAGATAGATAATCCATAGATTTCTTTTCTCTACAACCCATTCTCTCTCTCTCTCTCTCTGCTTAAACTGAATTAAACTGCTCTTTATGGACATCAGCAGTTTTAAGCAGAAAGAGGGAGATGCTTTTTCTGGAACAGTTCCACTGACACATAAACACTACAGGAGACCCAGATAGCACACTTGGCTCAACACACAGCCAGCCAGACTGATGCAGCTAAAACCAGCAAGGCCCTCCCCTCCCCTGATGTAAGTGAGGGAGGGGAGAGGGAGGAGGGAGAGCCAAAGAGGAGAGAAAGGCTTTGTTTGCAGATTCCCTTCTATCCATCTTTCCACACTGCAAAAAAAAAAAAGGGAGAGGGAGGGCATGTGGAAAGCCACCCACGCATCCACTGTGCTCGGCATCTCCCGAATGGCCATAGCTGGAAATAAAATATTTATAGGAAGGCTGGAAAGGCAGCACAATCAGCAATTTTACACGTTAATCCAGGGGCGGCTTCAATCTACCTTTTTTTTGGGGGGGGGGAAGCTGCAAGTTGAGATATACCTGGAAACAGGAGCTGAAAACCCCCACCGTAGCCCCAGAGAGTTGTAAAAATTCTGCTTATTGCCTTTTTTTAAAAAAAAATTTGCCTCTGAAGCCTCCAGGGCCAGTCTCCATTCAAAATGCCGCTCGGATGCCTGGTTTTATAAAAAAATAAAATAAAATAAAAGTATTTTCGTCTGATTTGGGTTTCAAAATTCCAACAGAATTTCACAGCTCGGAGGCACGCTGTCTGTTGCAGCTTTATTTCGTCGTGACATTTGGGGGGTGGGGGAATATCAATATTAGGGGGCAATTCATAAATAGGAAGGATCAGATAGGTTTTTCTTCTCTGGGAAAGAGCTGGGAACGGTGCCATTCCTGAAACTCACTCAAGACAGGTGCAAGGGGAAATAATCCTGTAATTACGGTTGGGAAACTGAGGCCAGCGAGAGAAAAGAGGTGCCCCTTTGGAAAACAGAGGGGAAGTAGCCGGATGCAATTACACACTCACACACACACACAAATGTAACTCCTTGCAATCAACTGCTTCTTAAATTTGCACACACACACACACACACACACACACCCAACGAGCGGGAGACAATGCAAAACATTCACGCCTCCAACAACCCTTGTGCATTTTCAATGAACCACTTGCCTGCACCAGGCTGACCTCACAATTAAGGGGAGGGGGGGTAGCTGCTGCTAACAGAACTAATCACTAGAATTCTTGCTTCATCCCCCCCTCCCCAATTTAAAATGATGGTCAGGGGGGAGCAGCACACCCCAAAAGGCACATCCTGCAAATTGGGGGTGGGTGGGTGGGAGGGAGCTTCAGCCCAGCTGAATTACCGACTCTACACTCCCCCCCCCCAGCCTCAATTTTAATCCCTAAAAATGAGAGCTGGGTGGGGGGGTGAATATACCACCCACCCGCGGCCTGAAATACGTGGGAAGGGTCTCTGAATTGCTAAGGCGCCCCGGGCAAGCAGGTTATCGATCCCTTTGCAGGATCTGAGCAAAGGGAGGGGGCTGAAAAACTCGGTCAAATGGAAATCCTCCCCAACCGGCAGCTCTCCAGTTGCGCCAGGCTGCCGGCCGCGAGTCCAGCGGGGCCGCGGCCCCAAGGCGCGCAGAGGGCGCCCGGTTGGAGAAGGCGGCTGGAGAGTCAATAACAAGGCCATCTGCTGAGCCAGGGAGAGAAAAAAAGGGGGGGGGCGCGGAGGAAAAAGAGCCGCCGAGGAAGGAGGGAAGGGAAGGCGAGAAAAAGAGGGGGGGGTCCTTCTAGGCAGCCCCCTCCCCGATTAGCTAGAAGCGGTTTGGGGGGGCTGGCTTTCCCGGCTGGGCGAGCTCCCCTCTCCGAGATCGGGGAGGGGGTGTGTGAAGGGAGACCCCCTCCCCAGGAGGGAGGAGGAGAAAAGAGGGGGGGTCGTTCTCTGCAACCCCCTCCCCAATTAGCTGGAAGCGGGTTGGGGGGGGGTCTTTGCTTCTCCAGCTGGGCAAGCCCCCCCCCCTCCGAGATCTGGGACGGTAGGGAAGGAGGAAGGGAAGAGGGAAGGGAGACCCCTCCCCAGGAGAGAGGATGAGGGGGAAAAGAGGGGGTCATTCTCTGCAACCCCCCCTCCCCAATTAGCCCCCAGCCGGGCAAGCTCTCCGATTTCTGGGACAGCGAGGGAGGAGGGGGGATTAAGGGAGACCCCCTCCCCAGGAAGGAGGAGGAGGGGAAAAAAGGGGGGGTCGTTCTCTGAGACCCCCTCCCCAATTAGCTGGAAGCGGGTTGGGGGGGTCTTTGCCTCTCCGTCTGGCCAAGCCCCCCCCCTCCGAGATCTGGGCCGGTGGGGAAGGAGGAAGGGGAGAGGGAAGGGAGACCCCTCCCCAGGAGGGAGGAGGGGAAAAAGAGGGGGGTCGTTCTCTGCAACCCCCTCCCCAATTAGCTGGAAGCGGGTTGGGGGGCTTTGCCTCTCCGGCTGGGCAAGCCCCCCCTCTCCGAGATCTGGGCCGGTGGGGAAGGAGGAGGGGAGGATTAAGGGAGACCCCTCCCCAGGAAGAAGGAGGAGGAGGGGGGAAAGAGGGGGGGTCGTTCTCTGCAACCCCCTCCCCAATTAGCTGGAAGCGGGTTGGGGGGGCTTTGCCTCTCCGGCTGAGCAAGCCCCCCCCTCCGAGATCTGGGATGGCGGGGAAGGAGGAGGGGGGGATTAAGGGAGACCCCTCCCCAGGAAGGAGAAGGAAGAGGGGGAAAGAAGGGGGGTCGTTCTCTGCAACCCCCTCCCCAATTAGCTGGAAGCGGGCGGGGGGGGCTGGACAACCCCCCCTCCCTCCGAGATCTGGACCGCTGGGGAAGGAGGAGGAAGAGGGTGCCAAGCGAGACCCCTCCCCAGCCCAAGGGGAGGAGGAGGAGGAGGAGGACCCCTGCCCGTGTTTTGCCCCTCGGGGGGGGGGGCGCCGCGGTACCTCTCTCCTGCGGGGGCCGGGAAGGAGGCTGGCTGCGGGCCGGCGGGCTGGCTGGGGCGGCTGGCGCTGGAGCCCTCCGGACTCCGCGATGGGCAGCGGCGGCGGCGGCGGCTGTGCGGCGGGGCTGGCGACGACCGGCGGCCTGCTCCACGGCAGCCCGTCCTTCCTCCTCCTCCTCGGCCGCCCACCGGCACCGGCTCCTCCTCGCAGGCGGCCCCTCCGGCCACGCCTCGCGGCAGGCAAGTAAGAAGGCAGGAGGAGGGCCGGCTCCGGGCGCTGCCAGCCGCTTCCTGCAAGTTGCAAAGGCTCGGCGGCGGGTCTCTGAGGACGTGCAGAGCGCCCGCCTGGCCCGGCCAAAGTCTCTCGGCTCGGCCACCCAGCGGGCGCGAGGCTTCCGCTCCGAGGGTCGCCTCTGGGCCTGGGCAGAGTGCCCCGACCCTGGGCAAAGGATCGCCTCTGGGCATGGGCAGAGTGCCCCGACGCTGGGCAGAAGGATCGCCTCTGGGCATGGGCAGAGTGCCCCGACCCTGGGCAGAAGGATCGCCTCTGGGCATGGGCAGAGTGCCCCGACCCTGGGCAGAAGGATTGCCTCTGGGCATGAGCAGAGTCCCCCGACCCTGGGCAGAAGGATCGCCTCTGGGCATGAGCAGAGTCCCCCGACCCTGGGCAGAAGGATCGCCTCTGGGCATGAGCAGAGTCCCCCGACCCTGGGCAGACGGATCGTCTCTGGGCATGGGCAGAGTGCCCCAACCACCTGGGCCGAAGCAAGTCCACTTTGCTGTGGCCACCCGCTCCCCAAGGGCGTGTCCTCTGAGCATGGGCAGAGTGTTCCATCCTGGGCCGAAGGGAGTTTGCTTTCCTTGGCTTTGCTGGGTCGGTCACTCCCCAAGGGCATTTCATTTCCTCGGAGCATGGGCAGAGTGCCCCGATCCTGGGCAGAAGCAAAACTGCCTTTGGTTAATTTGGGGCAACAGCTCTGGGCATGGGCAGAGTGCCTGATCCTGGTCAGAAGCAAGTCAATTTTGCCGTGGTTGCAACTCCCCAATGCCATCGCCTCTGAGCATGAGCAGAGTGCCTTATCCTGGGCAGAAGCGAGTCTTCCTTTGTTAGTTTGGGGCATCACCTCTGAGCATGGGCAGAGTGCCCCGATCCTGGGCAAAAGCGACTCTGCCTTCATTATCTTTGCTGTGGTCACCGCTTCCCAAGAGCATCGCCTCTGGCATGGCCAGAGTGCTCGGATTCTGAGCAGAAGCAAGCCTGCCTTTGTTAATTTTGGGCCTTGCCTCTGAGCATGGGCAGAGTGCCCCGATCCTGGGTAGAAGCGAGTCTGCCTTCCTTTCCTGTGCCGTTCTCCCAAATCCAAAAAAGGATATGGAATAGAACAGAACAGAACAGAATAGAATAGAGCTGGAAGGGACCTTGGAGGTCTTCTAGTCCAGCCCCTGCTCAAGCAGGAGAACCATACCCTCTCATTGGGCCACCAGAGGTGATGAATACTTTTTTTTTTTAACTTTCATGAGATCTGTTGTATTAACCTGACATGGTGGTTATTACAAAGCGCCAGCATTCTTGTGAAGTCAGTGATATATATAATGCAATAGAGTAGAGTAGAGTAGAAATAAGAATAGAACAGCATAGCATAGCATAGCATAGAAAAGAACAGAACAAACAACAGAATAGAATAGAATAGAATAGAATAGAATAGAATAGAATAGAATAGAATAGAATAGAATAGAATAGAACAGTGGTTCTCAACCTGTGGGTCGGGACCCCATTTGGGGTCGAATGACCATTTCACGGGGGTCGCCAAACCACACTGTCCGCCATTTTTTTCCCTTTTCCCTAGCTGTCCTACTCCCTCTTATTGGTGGCCACACCCACTTGGGGGGCACCACAACATGGGGAACTGTATTATGGGGTCACGGCATTAGAAAGGTTGAGAACCACTGGAATAGAAGATAGGAATGGAATGGAATGGAATAGAATAGAATAGAATAGAATAGAATAGAATAGAATAGAATAGAATAGAATAGAATAGAATAGAATAGAATAGAAGATAGGAATAGAATAGAATAGAATAGAAGATAGGAATGGAATAGAATAGAATAGAAGGGAAGAGAAGAGAAGAGAAGATAGTAATGGAATAGAATAGAATAGAATAGAAGATAGGAATGGAATGGAATAGAATAGAATAGAATAGAAGATAGGAATGGAATGGAATAGAATAGAATAGAATAGAATAGAATATTGGAATGGAATAGAATAGAATAGAACAGAACAGAACAGAATAGAATAGAATAGAATAGAATAGAAGCTGGAAGGGACCTTGGAGGTCTTCTAGTCTAGCCCCCTGCTCAAGCAGGAATCCTCAAACCAGAGTTGAACCCCAATCTTTCCACCTTCCTCCTGCGCTGTGGCCTCCGGAGCCACACAAAGTTCTTCAGAAAAAGAACTTCAGAGCTGTGTGTAGGCCCAGCATTCCCCCCACCCCCCCCTTTTTTTGGGGGGGGGGAAATGCCATCAAAACAAAAGTTAACTGACAGGCCTGCAGCAAAATATTGCATTTTGGGGCTCTTTATGAGATGCTTTTAAATGATTTGCCTTGCTGAAAAACTGAATTGGGAGGCAGGTGCTCCTGCCTTGCTCGCCCTGGGACAGGATGGGTTCCAATGTTACCATCACTTGGATTCAGGATTAAAATGATTTTCTTTCCTAAACAGGCTAATTGTGTTCTCTGAGCTTGTTTGTTTTCTTGCAGACGTTTTGTGACCCAACTAGGTAACATCAGTGCTAGAACAGAGGGGGGGCTGTGGATTGGAGGAGGAGGAGAACTGTGGGGGTCCTTGCTACTCTCTGAGCTGGGTGGTTTTCTTACAGACATTTCATCACCCAGCTAGGTAACATCATCAGTGCTAGAAGGGAGGGAAATTGCTGGAAAAAGGAAGAGAAGGAGAAGGAAGACTGTGGAGTCTTTGGTGCTCTCTGAGCTGGGTGGTTTTCTTGCAGACATTTCATCACCCAACTAGGTAACATCATCAGTGCTAGATGGGAGTGGGGTTTGCAGGGAGGAGGAGGATTGTGGGGTCCTTGGTGCTCTCTGAGCTGGGCGGTTTTCTTCTAGACGTTTCATGACCCAACTAGGTAGCATCATCAGTAATAGTGCACCATAAAAGAGAGGAGAACCATCTGGAGCTAACCAAGGACTTATGGAATGCTGGCTCAGGACTCCTGGGAGTTGAAGTCCATAGGCGGGAAAGGGGGCCTACTCCTGGCCTAGGCTAGGATATCAACCTCCGAGAATGCAGCTGCCCACCTCTTTTCCTGCACTGGGTGATAAATGCTGAACCCTGGCGGCTACACAACACCACTCCCAATCCAGGGCTCGAACCCCCCCCCCTGCCCACCCAAGCACAGCTGGGAATCGCAGCCGTAACTACTCCGTTGCCTGAGCGTGTGGAGGCCCGTCCGCTCCCAGGAGAAGACTCTACGTACCTCCTCAAACAACGGCCTTTTTCGGATTTGCAACAGATCTCCTGCACCGCTTCAAGCGAAACGCAAGGCCCTTTCCGAAGACGGCCTCCAAGGATGGATCCAGGTGCAAAGGTGCGGGAGGAAAAGAGAAAACAGCCGCGGTTCCAGGAATAAATGGCAGGTGTGTGAACACACCCAGGGGCAGGAGCAACCAGGTGTGACCGAGGCGGATCCTCGGAAAGACGCATCCCAAGGCTGGAGAGACCATCCAGGCATCCGTCACCCTTATAAGGAACTTTTCCATGGAGATCGCGATTCCAGGGGTTCGGTGGCTCAGCCCCCCCCCCCATGTTTCAAGCCCCTCATGATTCCTCTTGGAGAATCCACGTTCCAGATAGTTCTCGACTTACAACAGGTTCATTTAGGGACTGTCCAAACTTACTACAGCACTGAAAAAGGGGACTTAACGACTGTTTTTCACATTTAGGACCGTTGCAGCTTCCCCGGGTTACGTGATCAAAATTTAGACGCTTGGCAACTTGACTCGCATTTATGACCGTTGCAGTGTCCCGGGGGGGGGGTTTCGTGTGACTCCTTTTTGCGACCTTCCCACCCGCAAAGTCCACGGGGAAGCCAGATTCACTTAACAACCGGGTCACTCACTTTAACAACTGCAGCGACTCATTTAACAACCGTGGCGAGAAAGGTCGCAAAAAGGACCCAGCTAACAAATGTCTAGCTGTTGTGGGTTGAGCTGTGGCCGTAAGGCGAGGACCAGCTGTTATTACAAATCAGATGAAATTAGTCCTCATTTCTAGAAAGTCTTCTTTGAATCAGAACAGAGCTGAGAGGGACCTTGGAGGTCTTCTAGTCCAGCCCCCTGCTCAAACAGGAGACACTAAACCAGAGGTCTTCAAACTTGGCCCTTTGATGACTTGTGGACTTCAACTCCCAGAAGTCCTCAGCCAGCATGCCTGGCTGAGGAATTCTGGGAGTTGAAGTCCACTCTTAAAGTCTATATCAGGGGTCTTCAAACTTGGCCCTTTGATGACTTGTTGACTTCAACTCCCAGAATTCCTCAGCCAGGTACCGCTGGCTGAGGAATTCTGGGAGTTGAAGTCCACAAGTCATCAAAGGGCCAAGTTTGAAGACCCCTGCCCTATACTATTTCAGACAAGTTTTTGTTCAATCTCTTCTTGAAAATCTCCAGTTATAGAGCCCCCACAACTTCTGGTGGCAAGCTGTTCCACTGGTTAATTGTCCTCACTGTTAAGGACGTTTCTCCTTCATTCCAGGTTGCTTCTCTCCTTGATCAGTTTCCATCCGTTGTTTCTCGTCACGCCTTCTGGTGTTTTGAAAAATAATTTTGACACACACACACACATCTTTGTGGCAGCCCCTCAAATATTGGAAGACCGGCTATCATGTCACCCCTAGTCCTTCTTTCCCCTGGACTTCTGTGTCTTTCCATCAAGCACAGCAAGGGATCCATGACAATTATCCAGTTATGACAATTAACTGGATGAAATTTTAATTCCGTCTAATGGATTGAAATGATTTAAGGTCTGATATTATTTTGTCAGCTTAAAGAGATTGATTAATTGATGGATTAGATAGGTATAGGTTAGATCAGTGGTTCTCAACCTTTTTAATGCCGCGACCCCCAACCGGTCGTAAGTTGAGGACTACTCAACGGGTCGTAAGTCGAGGACTACTCAACTGG